CATTGTACAAAGTGCATGCTCTGGTGCTTCCATGAACAATACCATGAATGTCTCTGTCCTCTTTGTCCTTCATACATCACACCAATCATGGTTCAGTCCCAATGTGACTCTACCTGAAGCCTCTATAAAGGTGGACATTGGGAGAACATTGTACAAAATGCATGCTCCGGTGCTTCCATGAACAATACCATGTATGTCTCTGTCTGTCCTCTTGTCTTTTCCTTCATACATCACCAAATCATGGTTCAGTCCCAATGGTGACTCTACCTGAAGCCTCTATAGAGTTGTCTCAACATCAGCTGAAACTTACAGAAGAAGAAATGTCCGTGCAAAAACAAAAAAAAAAGCCTGATCTGCAGAAGTTCCTTCAATTCCGGAATCCAGAAAATCACATATTTAGGAAAATCCAAACCAATCCAATAGTCAGAACCCCGGGCTGGTTTTTATTGCAGTCAGAGAGATCACCCCTCACTTCTTGCCTCTATGGAGTTGTCACACATCAGCTGAAAGGTCCAGAAAAAAGGAAACATTCATACAAATTAAGAACCTGATCTGTAGTAGATCCCTCAATTCCGGAACCCAGAAAATCATATATTTAGAAAAATCCAAACCAATCCAATAGTTAGAACCCCGGGCTGGTTTTTATTACAGTCAGAGAGATCACTCCTCACTTCCTGTGGGGTCACCAGCACAGGAAGTGAGAGAACCACGCCCCCCCCCCCCCCCAACAGGGTCGTGGATAAGGGGGTACCACCAGTTCACTTGAATGGGGGTGCACACAGGGGGACCCAGGCAGCTGGATGAACCAGATGTAGGCAGGGAGGTTGATCGGCACCAGGGCTGCTGTTAGAAACCATAGGGCCCCTTACAGCCAACCTGACAGGGCCCCCCATCCCCACAAAAAAACACAGTTTACTATGCTTCAGTTATGAATGTTATGAATGAACACAGTGAGTGATTGTGTTCATTCAGGAATGGAAGGGGCTGGTAAAATTACTGGAACCGATCCTCTGTATGTTTCTCTCTGCAGCAGCTGAAAGCTAGCTGGGGAAGGGAAGAGAAGAAGCCAGCTGTCAGCTGCTGCAGAGAGAGCCGTACAGGGGATTGGTTCCAGTAATTGCCCCAACTCCCCGCTGCACCCATCACCCTCCCTGTGCATTTCCCCCTGTGCCCAGGCTGCGAAAACCACAATAGAATCCTTCAGGATGGTTCTGGATGGAGAGTGGGGTGAAGGGTCCTAGAAATTTGTCATATTTACCAGCCCCTCTTTTCCTGAATGAACACAATGAGTGATCAGTACTGATCGCTCACTGTGCTCATTCATAACTGAAGCCTAGTAAACTGTGATTTTTTTTTTGGGGGGGGAGGTGGCCTGTCAGGTTGGCTGTATAGGACTCTGTGGTTTCTGACAGCAGCCCTTACCCCCCAAGTGGGGTCACAAACAGCTATAAATACCTGAGAGGATGTAACCATTACTGCGGGGTCACAGGCAGCAATAGACACCTAAAAGGATCTTCCATTATCCTCTAATTGAGATCTCCTTTAAAGTGGGATCTGGGTTAGAATGAACTAAGATTAAAAACATGCCCCTCCCCCCACCTTCTAACTCCTCTAACTGACTACCCTGTAGAAGGAAGATGCATATTCCATATCTATGCTCAGGAACCCTGGTCCGGTCACGTCATCTCCCAAGCAGCTGCTTTCAGGGAGAGAGAGAGAGCGCCGACAATGGATAGAACGCCTGGGTGGTGATGTCACTAATAGGCTTACTATGGGGCATTGATTGTCGGTTATCCCTCCTCTCCCCTGCAGCCGGCCATTGGGAGCCGATTACATGACCGGACCAGAGCCCCCTGAGAACAGCTTATAGGATGTGCATCTTTCTTCTACAGGTGGTTAGTATAGGTGTTAGAAGAGCCCACATGGAAGAAAAATATATGTGAAATATATTTAAAAAATATTCTTCCCCAAATATAATGACATGTATTTGAAATACTACAATTTTGGCCGTATTCAATATATTTCAAAATATATTTCAATAAATATATATATATATATACAGTATATCTGTACAAACATCAAACATTGTGCCTTTCATTTCTATTCTATACTGAATGGCTTGTTTTACAAGGTGAGGGTCACATTTACTGTACCTTAAAGTGATTGTAAAAGGGAAACTTCTTTTTTTTAATAGCAAAGATGTCATACTTACCTGCTCTGTGTAATGGTTTTCTCCTCTTCCTCCTCCTCCTCTTCATGGGCCCACCACATGTGATCCTGGCTCCTCCACTTTCTGAGTGCCCTCATAGCAAGTCGCTTGCTATGGGGATACTTGTGGGGGCTCTATCCTGAGCCGGGCTGTGTGTGTCCATAGACGCACAGAGTGTAGCTCAGCCCCACCCCTCATCTCTCCTCGCAGGCTGTGATTGACAGCAGCAGGAGCCAGTGGCTCCTGCTGATGCCTCCATGGCCAGTGAGGAGGGAGACAGCTCTGGGCACAGCACTGGATGGAGATCAGTCTCGGGTAAGTATAAGGGGGGGAGGGGTCTGAGGGGGAGCTACACACAGAAGGTTTGTAAAGGTGAAAAAACCTTCTACCTTCACAACCACTTTAGGCTTAGTTCTGGCCTTGAATTTCATTCTGATTCTATTTTTAGATGACCAAAAAAGTGTTCTCACTAGGACATGACACATGTGGCTCCTACACAACATTCTTTGGTACTTGTTGTCACCGGTGCTTCTTTCCCATGACAATGGATGCCATTCTTTTCCTTGTTTTCTTCACAGATCTCAGTGTATTTTTTTGATAATCTCTTCCGTCTACCATCTGTAAAGCAGAGTTCAAGATGAAAAAAAACGTGTCCCATACTTTATGTTGGACTGTGAGATGTTCCTGCACATGGGAACGAGGTGTTGGTGGGGAGCTGGACCTCAGTGTGAAGAGCAGGCCTCCGTTCTGGAACAAAGGTGGCTCTCCAGGAAGCTGTGGACCCAAAGGGGTCCTCAGAGTCTCGGCGATAATTATAGGGAGAAGCTGAGATCACCACTGGGTAATTTACACATCCAATGGGTCTTTTTTCACCACCAAGAGATGTCACTGGGATGAGCTTGATGGCTGCATATCCACGCCGTACTGGACAGATTACGGAGCCACGGCCACAAATGACCCTGTTGGTACAATTGGAGGAATGACAGTGAGAATACGTAAGGGAGGACGTTGATGTAGAGAACAAGGGAGGGCAGTTTGCTTTCTGTGATGTTATATTTCAGAGTCCTGTGACAGTAGAGATACTTGTCAGGGCTCCCAGGTATGACCAGAGGTGTGTGACTGACGCAGGGAAACGCAGACCTCAAATATATGATATAAACAATATAATTTATTAACACTAACAGTACAAACATAAACGCAGTGCAATACTAAACATAATACAGTGCAAACAAACCAAACCAACCACCCACAGATAACAGTACATACAAGCAAGCGTCGTCAGGCAGGCCGGGTCAATATCAATAGGGCAGGTAGGTACAGGGGGAGCAAGCGGAGAATGGTCGGGGTCACAGGCCAGGTTCAGCAGGTAGCAAGCAGCATAGTACAGAGGGTCAGGCAGAGGGATGGTCAGGGTCACAAGCCAGGGATCAGAACAGGTAGCAAGCAGCGTAGTACAGAGGGTCAGACAGAGGGATGGTCAGGGTCACAAGCCAGGATCAGAGCAGGAGAAGTCAGCAAAGGAACAGAAACAGGATGCAGGACAGATACAGGGCCCAGGACAAACACAACACCAAGGCAGAGTCTGTGGGTCTGGCCATCCCTTAAATACCCCAGTATCATCAGTTCCAGGTGTTAGCTGGCTGAAAGGTTGAGTCTGATTGCTGGGAGCACCCGCTGGCCAGCCCTGGTACTGCAGATCAAAAGGCAGGTGAGTCCCACCATTGCTGGCCAGTCCATTCCTAACAGTACCCCCCCCTCAAGGAGCGGCCTCAGGACGCTCCAAACAGTCCTAGCTGGGCAAAATGTGTCCACCGCCCGGGTCTGGCAACTGGCGGATATCAAAGACTGGCACACCGGCAGGACTCCGGGCAGCGGCACACCGGGCTGGACTCCGGGCAGCGGCACATCGAGCAGAGGCACACCGGGCAGAGGCACACCGGGCAGAGGCACATCGGGCAGAGGCACATCGGGCAGAGGCACATCGGGCAGAGGCACATCGAGCAAGGCACACCGGGCAGAGGCACATCGGGCAGAGGCACATCGGGCAGGACTCCGGGCAGAGGCACATCGGGCAGAGGCACATCGGGCAGGACTCCGGGCAGAGGCACATTGGGCAGGACTCCGGGCAGAGGCACATCGGTTTACCAGGCGAAGCAGCAGGCAGCGGGCCACCGGGCGGAGCAGCAGGCACCGGGCCCCTGGGCGGGGCGACAGGCACCGGGCCCCCGGGCGGAGCAGCAGGCACCGGGCCCCCGGGCGGAGCAGCAGGCACCGGGCCCCCGGGCGGAGCAGCAGGCACCGGGCCCCCGGGCGGAGCAGCAGGCACCGGGCCCCCGGGCGGGGTGACCGGGCCCCCGGGCGGGGCAGCAGGCACCGGGCCCCCGGGCGGGGCAGCAGGCATCGGGCCCCCGGGCGGGGCAGCAGGCACCGGGCCCCCGGGCGGGGCAGCAGGCACCGGGGCCCCCGGGCGGGGCAGCAGGAACCGGGCCCCCGGGCGGGGTGACCGGGCCCCCGGGCGGGGCAGCAGGCACCGGGCCCCCCGGGCGGGGCAGCAGGCATCGGGCCCCCGGGCGGAGCAGCAGGCACCGGGCCCCCGGGCGGGGTGACCGGGCCCCCGGGCGGGGCAGCAGGCACCGGGCCCCCGGGCGGGGCAGCAGGCATCGGGCCCCCGGGCGGGGAAGCAGGCACCGGGCCCCCGGGCGGGGCAGCAGGCACCGGGCCCCCGGGCGGGGCAGCAGGCACCGGGCCACCGGGCGGAGCAGCAGGCGTCGGCCCCCAGGCGGAGCAGCAGGCGTCGGGCCCCCAGGCGGGGCGGCGGGCGCCGGGCCCCCAGGCGGGGCGACAGGCATCGTGCCCCCAGGCGGGGCGACAGGCATCGTGCCCCCAGGCGGAGCGGCGGGCACCGGACCCCCAGGCGGAGCGACAGGTCTCGGGCCCTCAGGCGGAGCGGCGGGCGCCGGACCCCCAGATGGAGCGACAGGTCTCGGGCCCTCAGGCGGAGCGGCGGGCGCCGGACCCCCAGGCGGAGCGACAGGTCTCGGGCCCTCAGGCGAGCGGCGGGCGCCGGACCCCCAGGCGGAGCGACAGGTCTCGGGCCCTCAGGCGGAGCGGCGGGCGCCGGACCCCCAGGAGGAGCGACAGGTCTCGGGCCCTCAGGCGGAGCGGCGGGCGCCGGACCCCCAGGTGGAGCGACAGGTCTCGGGGCCCTCAGGCGGAGCGGTGGGCGCCGACCCCCAGGTGGAGCGACAGGTCTCGGGCCCTCAGGCGGAGCGGCGGGCGCCGGACCCCCAGGTGGAGCGACAGGTCTCGGGCCCTCAGGCGGAGCGGCGGGCGCCGGACCCCCAGGCGGAGCGACAGGTCTCGGGCCCTCAGGCGGAGCGGCGGGCGCCGGACCCCCAGACGGAGCGACAGGTCTCGGGCCCTCAGGCGGAGCGCGGGCGCCGGACCCCCAGGCGGAGCGACAGGTCTCGGGCCCTCAGGCGGAGCGGCGGGCCCGGACCCCCAGGCGGAGCGACAGGTCTCGGGCCCTCAGGCGGAGCGGCGGGCGCCGGACCCCCAGGAGGAGCGACAGGTCTCGGACCCTCAGGCGGAGCGGCGGGCGCCGGACCCCCAGGTGGAGCGACAGGTCTCGGGCCCTCAGGCGGAGCGGCTGGCGCCGGACCCCCAGGAGGAGCGACAGGTCTCGGGCCCTCAAGCGGAGCGGCGGGCGCCGGACCCCCAGGCGGAACCGTGGGCTCCGAGTCAACTGGGATGACCGCTGGCACTGGGTCAGACATTGGATCGTCTGGCTGGACAGCGGGCATCGGGTCACCAGGCATCAGGTCATTTGGCTCGACAGCGGGCACCGCGTCATCTGGCAAGGCAGTGGGCTCCGAGTCAACTGGTATGACCGCGGGCACTGGGTCAGACATTGGATCGTCTGGCTGGACAGCGGGCACTGGGTCACCAGGCATCAGGTCATTTGGCTTGACAGCGGGCACCGCGTCATCTGGCAAGGCAGTGGGCTCCGAGTCAACAGGCACGACAGTGAGCACCGGGTCATCAGGTACCGGATTGTCTGGCTCGACAGCGGGCATCGGGTCACCAGGTATGACAGCGGGCACTGGGTCACCAGGCATCAGGTCATTTGGCACGACAGCGGGCACCGGATCAGGTCCCGGATCATCTGGATCAACAGCGGGCATTGAGTCAACTGGCCTAATAGGATCGTCAGGCTGGATCAGTTCATCATGCTGGGTAGAGGCATCAGGCTGAATGCCGGCGTCCGGCTGAGTAGAGGCTTCAGGCCGAGTAGAGGCTTCAGGCCGAGTAGAGGCATCAGGCCGAGTAGAGGCATCAGGCGAGTAGAGGCTTCAGGCCGAGTAGAGGCATCAGGCCGAGTAGAGGCATCAGGCCGAGTAGAGGCTTCAGGCCGAGTAGAGGCATCAGGCCGAGTAGAGAGGCTTCAGGCCGAGTAGAGGCTTCAGGCCGAGTAGAGGCATCAGGCCGAGTAGAGGCTTCAGGCCGAGTAGAGGCTTCAGGCCGAGTAGAGGCATCAGGCCGAGTAGAGGCTTCAGGCCGAGTAGAGGCTTCAGGCCGAGTAGAGGCATCAGGCCGAGTAGAGGCTTCAGGCCGAGTAGAGGCTTCAGGCCGAGTAGAGGCATCAGGCCGAGTAGAGCCTTCAGGCCGAGTAGAGGCATCAGGCCGAGTAGAGGCTTCAGGCTGAACCACGGAAGGCAGGCTCACCGGTTTGGATACTGGCAGGATGGTATTGGTTGGAAAGAATTTTCGCTTTTTTCTGGTTTTAACTACTGGAGCACTGCAAGTAAACGCAGGTCTGCAAACGAATGGAGCAGCTGGAGACAGAGAAGAACTGGAGGATGGAACAGGAGAGGGAGCGGTTGCTACAGAGGGCTCTTTTACAGGGTTAAAGGCAGGATAGGTGCAGCGAGTGGGAACAGGGTACTGACATGCGGTAGATAGCAGGGCAGGAGGAGCTGTTGGGAATGCAGGAATAGAGTTTTGAGGAAATAGATTAGAAGCAGGACTGGGTCTTTGTAAGCTGACTGAGGCTGGGTGCAACAAATCTGTCCATGTCTGCAGTATGGGTTGAACAAAGCTGAGCTTACACAAAGCCTGTCTGACCAATGACTGCACTGCGTTTTATACAATCTCTTAGTGTCTGTGGTGAACATGTGGAGTAACGCTCCAGAAAGTAGCCCACATCATCCTCTAATAACCACACCAGGGACTCTACCTGGTCTGCACTAAATGGTGGCAAAAATTCATTCCTGCATTCGGGGGAACCAGATGAAACCAACTCAGCACAAACCTCAATCAAAGGCTGCACCTCAGAGAACTCTGTGCCCTGATCTACTAGAACATGAGCGAGCTGTATACATTCTAGCAGTTCATCCCGGGGATACTCCTTCAGAGTTTGATAAGCATACTCCCTGTCATCAAACACTAACAGATATAAATACACAACCTCATCCAGATCCATCCTTCCCATCAACAAGCCAAGATGGCTTCCCTGTGCAGCCACTTCTGGTCAGGATTGGCTTTGGTGTAATGTCAGGGCTCCCAGGTATGACCAGAGGTGTGTGACTGACGCAGGGAAACGCAGACCTCAAATATGTTATAAACAATATAATTTATTAACACTAACAGTACAAACATAAACGCAGTGCAATACTAAACATAATACAGTGCAAACAAACCAAACCAACCACCCACAGATAACAGTACATACAAGCAAGCGTCGTCAGGCAGGCCGGGTCAATATCAATTGGGCAGGTAGGTACAGGGGGAGCAAGCGGAGAATGGTCGGGGTCACAGGCCAGGTTCAGCAGGTAGCAAGCAGCATAGTACAGAGGGTCAGGCAGAGGGATGGTCAGGGTCACAAGCCAGGGATCAGAACAGGTAGCAAGCAGCGTAGTACAGAGGGTCAGACAGAGGGATGGTCAGGGTCACAAGCCAGGATCAGAGCAGGAGAAGTCAGCAAAGGAACAGAAACAGGATGCAGGACAGATACAGGGCCCAGGACAAACACAACACCAAGGCAGAGTCTGTGGGTCTGGCCATCCCTTAAATACCCCAGCATCATCAGTTCCAGGTGTTAGCTGGCTGAAAGGTTGAGTTCTCTCTGATTGCTGGGAGCACCCGCTGGCCAGCCCTGGTACTGCAGATCAAAAGGCAGGTGAGTCCCACCATTGCTGGCCAGTCCATTCCTAACAATACTAGTCCTTGGATCACATTATCACCAAACTGTGACCTCTATGGGAAGGTGGTGGACGAATACAGTTGGCATCCTATGGGTAGCCCGTGTAGGCAGCCTGCTACTATACTATTCATTGACGTCAGTTTCTCAACAATTATAATAGCTCTGCATGCGCCTCCACATCCACACGTTAGACTGGCCTAGTCACCCTGCCCACGGGTTCCTTTCCTCCAACATTCCTATATGACCTCTCGGTCAACCTTAACCCCTTCCAGTCCGGACACTTTCACCCCCTTCAGTCCGGACACTTTCCCCCCTTCCAGTCCGGACACTTTCCCCCCTTCCAGTCCGGACACTTTCACCCCCATCCAGTCTGGACACTTCCCCCCCTTCCAGTCTGGACACTTCCTCCCCTTCCAGTCCGGACACTTTCCCCCCCCTCCAGTCCGGACACTTTCCCCCCCTTCCAGTCCGGACACTTTCTTTCCCCCCCTTCCAGTCCGGACACTTTCCCCCCTTCCAGTCCGGACACTTTCCCCCCCTTCCAGTCCGGACACTTTCCCCCCCTTCCAGTCCGGACACTTTCCCCCCTTCCAGTCCGGACACTTTCACCACCTTTCAGTCCGGACACTTTCCCCCCCTTCCAGTATGGACACTTTCCCCCCTTCCAGTCCGGACACTTTCACCCCCTTCCAGTCCGGACACTTCCCCCCCTTCCAGTCTGGACACTTCCCCCCCTTCCAGTCCGGACACTTTCCCCCCTTCCAGTCCGGACACTTTCCCCCCTTCCAGTCCGGACACTTTCCCCCCCCTTCCAGTCCGGACACTTTCCCCCCTTCCAGTCCAGACACACTTTCCCCCCTTCCAGTCAGGACACTTTCACCCCCTTCCAGTCCGGACACTTTCATCTCCTTCCAGTCCGGACACTTTCACCCCCTTCCAGTCCGGACACTTCCCCCTCTTCCAGTCCGGACACTTTCCCCCCTTCCAGTCCGGATACTTTCCCCCCCTTCCAGTCTGGACACTTTCCCCCCTTCCAGTCCAGACACTTCCCCCCCTTCCAGTCCGGACACTTTCACCCCCTTCCAGTCCGGACACTTTCATCTCCTTCCAGTCCGGACACTTTCCCCCCTTCCAGTCCGGACACTTTCACCCCCTTCCAGTCCGGACACTTCCCCCTCTTCCAGTCCGGACACTTTCCCCCCCCTTCCAGTCCGGATACTTTCCCCCCCCTTCCAGTCTGGACACTTTCCCCCCTTCCAGTCCAGACACTTTCATCTCCTTCCAGTCCGGACACTTTCCCCCCTTCCAGTCCGGACACTTTCCCCCCTTCCAGTCCAGACACTTTCACCCCCTTCCAGTCCGGACACTTTCCCCCCTTCCAGTCTGGACACTTTCACCCTCTTCCAGTCCAGATACTTTCCCCCCCCTTCCAGTCCGGACACTTTCCTCCCCCCTTCCAGTCCGGACACTTTCCCCCCCCTTCCAGTCCGGACACTTTCACCCCCTTCCAGTCCGGACACTTTCACCCTCTTCCAGTCCGGACACTTCCCCCCCCCCCTTCCAGTCCGGACACTTTCCCCCCCCTTCCAGTCTGGACACTTTCCCCTCCTTCCAGTCTGGATACTTTCTCCCCCCTTTCAGTCAGGACACTCCCCCCCCCCCCCCAGGCCAATTTTCAGCTTTCAGCACTATCACACTTTGAATGACAATTGCGCGGTCATGCAACACTGTACCCATATGAATTTTTTACCATTTTTTGAGACAGATAAAACTTTATTTGGGTGGTATTTATTCACCGCTGGGATTTTTTTTTTTTGCTATATAAATGAAAAAGTCCAAACATTTAAAAAAAAAAGTGTTTTTCTGATACAATTTTGCAATAAATAACCTTTCTTTCAGGGGCGGACTGACCATTTGGCAACTTGGGCACTGCCCGGGGGCCTAGGGTCAGTAGGGGGCCCCATGAGATGCCCCTAGTACCTTACACATAGGCTTTTTTGGGTGTGGTTTGAGTGTGGGTGAGGACACAGGGGCCCCATGATCCCCTACTGCCCAGTTGTCAGCCCACCCCTGCTTTCTTCATAAATCTTGTCCAAAATTTATTCAGTTATCTTTTTAGTAAAAAAAAAATAACCCAAATTAGTTTATAACCAAAAATTATAATTTTTCAAAAATGTTAACATTTTTATTTTATTTTTTTATATTATTATTATTTTTTTTTTTTTAACATACTGTCACCATGGTAACACTGTACTACTTGTGGGGGGTGATAAAGATATATTTTTTTTTTTTTTACACTGATTGCTTTTACACATAAAGGCTGTAAAAGCAATAATTTCTCCTTCTCTCTGGCTGCATTCTTGCAGCCATTAAGAAACACTGTGTGAGCTGTGATTGGTCACAGCTTGTCACACGGTACAAGGCAAGGCTGTTGTGAATAGCCCTGTACCATGTATATAATAGAGATGTATGCGAGCACAAGATCAAAAAAGCAGCTGGCATACAAGGTAAACCTCCAAATAATCCAATATAATATAAATGCAGCGCTAGAAAATAATGAACAATAAAGGTGAATTGTAAGAAGTGGGCGCTTATATAGCGTATAAAGTGGTATAATGGTGAGTTGTCACTTAGCGACGTATCGGACAGATAAAGTCAATAAATATAAAGTGACTGTAGTGCATAATTAGGAAAAATGCAAATC